TCTAGTTGGCTTCTTATTGTCACTAGAGTTGAAATCCAAATACCTTAACATAATTTACAAAACCCTCCCACCTCATGCCTTGTAATTCTCTCACTGATGTTCCAGCCCTGGAAAACTCCTTTCATTTTTTTTCTTTGAACCTCTTTGTCTTTACTAGGAACATTCCATTTCTCTTTACCTGTCTTACTCTTCTGAGTTGTTGTTATGTCGAGTCGGACCCAACTCATAGCGACCCCTCCTTGGGTTTCTGAGGCGGTATCACTATGGAAGTAGATTGCCCAACCTTCCTTTCAAGAAGTGGCTGGTGGGTTTGAACCACCAGCCTTTTGGTTAGTAGTCAAGTGCCTTAGGCAGAAATGTCATTTTTTATGAGTAGCCTTTCTCTGACATTCCCCTCACCTGCTATACACACTCTTATGCACACATAGAGCACACACCAACCTGATTTTACAAGATTCTATAGTTCATTTTAATATAATTGTTTCTTTAGTTGCCAGTCTTCTACTACAAACAGTAAATTTAATGGTGACAGAGACCATTCTTGGTGGTTAAGCACTTCCTGTATATTAAGTAACTTGTTTTTCTGTGATATTGTGAAGATTAATTAATGATTGCAAAGTGTTTTGATCTGTTTAGTACTGTTGTTTTTGTTATTGTTTGTTATCATCAGGTCACCTCCTACTTACAGTGACCTTATGTATAACAGAATAAAACTTTGCCCAGTCCTATGCCATCTTCATGATTGTTGGTATATTTGAGTCCATTGTTGTCAACCCATCTCACTGAGGGTTTCCCTTGTTTTTGTTGGCCCTCTACTTTACCAAATATAATAGAGTTTTATAGCAATTGATCTTTCCTGATGACATGTCCAAGATAAGCTAGTCAAATTCTCATCATCTTTGCCTCTAAGGAACGTTCTAGTTGTATTTCTTCTAAGACTCATTTGTTCATTCTTCTGGCACTGCATGGTATATTCACTATTCTTCGCTAACACTACAATTCAAAAGCATCGATTCTCCTTTCTTCTTTTTCCATTGTCTAGCTTTCATGTGCATATGAGGCAATTGAAAGACTTTGGCATGGGTCAGGTGCACCTTAGTCATCAAAGTTATGCCTTTGCTTTTTAACACTTTAAAGAAGTCTTTTGCAGGAGATTTGCCCAGTACAATATGTTGTTTAGTTTCTTGACTGTTGCTTCCATGGATGTTGATTGTTGATCCAAGTAAAATGAAATCATACTTGACAACTTCAGTTTTTTTCTCCATTTATCATGATTGGTCCAATTGTGAAAACTTTTGTTTTCTTTACGTTCAGGCATAATCTATACTGATCTTCATCAAATGTTTGATCTTCATCAGTAAGTGCTTCAAGTTGTCTTCATTTTTGACAGGCAAGGTGGGGTTGTGTCATCTGTGTATCACAGCTTGTTAATGAGTCTTCCTCCAATCCTGATTTGGCATACTTCTTTATTTAGTCCGGCTTTTTGGATTTTTGTTCAGCATACAGTTGAATAAGTAAGGTGAAAGGTAAAGCTATGCTGCACATATACTCTAATTTTAAAACACATAGAATCCCCTTATTCCATTCAAAAAAACTATCTTTTCATCCATGCACAGGTTCTGTGTGAGCACTATTAAGTGTTCTGGAATTTCCATTCTTTGTAATGTTATCCATAATTTGTTACAATCCCATCCATGAAACCCAGGTTCATGAAACTGTCTTTGAACTTTTGGCAGTTCCCTGTTGATGTATGGCTGCAATCAATTTTGATACTAAGTGGTAAAAATGAAAGAATAAAATCCTTTCACTTACTTGCATATTGTTTTATATCTGTCTGCTTATATCTTCAACTTTTTTTTTTTTTTTTTTTAATATTTGTGATTGAAGGAGCTTTGAGCTGAGGTGGCAGATCACCAGTTCATCTAGTAACCTATTTGTGAAAAGACAGACACTTCATTAATTACTACTCAGACATTATTTCTTAAATTCCACCTGTAGCCATTGAGTTGAAAAAATTGGGAGAGGGAATGGAAAGACCAAAGGTAAATTCAGTCAGCAGCTACAAGAGAAAATTCAATCTATTTTTATGAATGGTGAAGTCAGACCCATTGGATCAATTGATCTTTTTTATTTGTTATTATTCTACTGAAGTAATATATACATGGCAAAACTATATCTAGTTTAGAGTTAAAGAGAAGTTCATTATTTGTGTTCTACACAGAATTTTATCTTACATATTTTCTATCGTTTGCAACAAATAATTAAATTAGTGTATTATTATCTAATTAGAGAGAAGGCTTTCCCTCAATTCTCAGGTAAATATATCTTGGCTCCAAAGCATGCTGAATATGTAACATCACACTAGAATAATAGATATCCTTCAGGGCCATTAACCTTAAAATGAAAAGCCCTTCCCTGTTTATAGAATGTAATTGACATTTAATAATACCGCTATTCTGTGAAATGGTGATAAGTGGAAAATAACAAATCAACAAGCACTTCTTACTTTTTATTTCCTAAATAGTACCATTTGCTACCTCATTAACTATGGGCTAAAACAGCCTTGAAATAACTGTCTTAAAGTTTGATTTCATTTTATAGGCTGAAAAACAGAGCTATCTACAGTTATAATAACTTCAGTATTTTAAAACTTTTGATTTTAAGTTACCTCAGGGATCAACAAACTATGGGCTACAGGCCAAATCCAGTCTGGTGATTGTTTCTGTATGGACTTGTAGTAGTTAAGGTTGTATGTCAACTTGACTGGGCCTGGTTAAGTAGCTGGGAAGCTTGATGTAGTTATTCGCAATGGTGAGATTGCTAATTAACTACATGGTGGAATCTACTAGAGCTGCTGAATAGTTGCTTTAGGGATGTGGGCTGCTTCCAGTGTGTAAGAAGCGACTTTGAGGAAGGTCTCCAGTTGATGGTGCGTTTGAACCCTGCATGTAGCTGAGGTGTTGTTCAGGAGCCTGCCATATTGCCCTGCCAATCAATGGACTTGAATTAATAGCCTGCTATGTGGTTTGGTAATATCGGAACTGCCGTTTCACTTGTCAGCCTTGGGTTTGCCAGCCTTAGCAGCTAGCAGCTGCCTGAGTGCAGAGATGCCTGTAGCTCCAGTGGGTTGGGAGCAAAAGGCAGAGCTGAAGCCCAAGGTTGAGGGGCTTTCATCCAGCCCCTAGAACCTGGCTGGCCCCTGGAACTCAGACTTCTAACCTCTAAAATTGTAAGAGAATAAACTCTTGTTTGTTAAAGTCATACCATTTGTGGTATTTCTGTTAGAGCAGCACTGTTGTTGTTGTTGTTATTTGCCGTCGAGTCGGCCCCGACTCATAGCGACCCCTCCTTGGGTTTCCGAGGCAGTATCACTACAGAAGTAGATTGCCCAACCTTCCTTCCGAGGAGTGGCTGGTGGATTTGAACCGCCAGCCTTCTGGTTAGCAGTCAAGTGCCTTAGCCACTATGCTACCAGAGCTCCCATAGGTAACCAAAACAGTCCTGTAAATTAAAAGTAATTTTAAATATTTTAATGGTTAGAAAATAAGAATAAGAATATATCATAATAGGTAAAAATTGTATGAAATTCTAATATCAGTATTTTTTTTCCAATAAAATAAAGTTTTATTGGAACACAGCCATGCTCATTTGTTTATTTATTGTCTATGACTACTTTTGTGGAGCTCTGGTGATGTAGTTCCTAAGGCATTTGACTGCTAACCAGAAGGCTGGCGGTTCAAACCCACCAACCACTCCTGAGAAGGAAGATTGGGCAATCTACTGCCATAGAGATACCGCCTCGAAAACCTAAGGAGGGTTCGTTATGAGTTGAAGTAACTTGACGACAGTGAGATTTTTTTTCTTTTCTTTTTTTTTTTTAATGACTACTTTTGTGTTATAACAGCAGAGTTGAGTTGTTGCGACAGAGACTGCATGGGCCGCCAAGCCCAAAATGTTTATTATCCTTCCCTTTACAGAAAATGTCTGATAGCTCCTGGGCTACACCAGTGTGTTTGCATGATTTTAGTGCCTTACATCAACTTTCCCAATTTACATCCAGTTTAGGGAGCTAATGAAGTCATGCTGAATAAAGTTCTTCAAACTTTAGGAAAGGTGAAGGAAACTGATCTAGGTATTGCTTGAAGTTTATACTTTAAATAAGAGCTCTTTCATTTGTGTAATCTTATTTTATTTTTCAAATATTTGCTTACATAGTGCTTACAGTTTTTTAGCCACTATTCCAAAGGCTTTATAACTTTTCTAAATCTTCATTCACAACCTTATGTAGTTGGTGTCTCTATTCTACAAGAGAGAAAATTACATAATAGAGAGGTTCAGTTACTTGACAGTTATTCCATGATTTGAATGTAGTCATTTAGTTCTTATCTACTATGCTATGCTGCATTTCTGTTCATACTTTTGCTTATTTATAAAAGCCTTGAGTTAAAAGTAGAACTTCATAATAATGCAAAATGGAAACTGTGTACCAAGACTTTCTAGCGCTTTGTTCCTTCATTTTTGGTGATAATCCTGTGCTTTATTCTCTCTGTGAAGACTTATTGACTATTCTCAGTTTCTGCCTTTTTCGTGCCTCCATTTGGCTCTTTACTCATGATACATCTTAAGGCTGGGTTTTAGTCTGGATATTTTGTTTCTAGAATGTTCTGTGAGGTATTTTTTTTTTTTAAGGATATTTTCCCAACTGTTATTATGACCTATAAGAAGGTTGGTTTTTGCTTTCAAGTTTGTGAATTTGTAATAGTTGATTCAGAAATTGACGTTAGTGTGTTCTAACTCATGAATTCTGGTGTGTTTGTAAATAAAGTTCTATAAGTGGTAATAGTTATTATTGTTATTTTCCCCCATGTTTGTTATGATTATTTTTAAATAGCAGATTTTGAGAATTGTGGTTCCAGATCTGGTAACTTCTCTTTTCTTTTGAAACAATAGACTAATTGGTCCAATTATGCCAACCTACTTTTCTTTTGTTTGTTTTACAGGGTGCCCGGGAAACATTTGAAAACTACTATAGAAAACAGAGGAGAAAACAAGCCCGTTTGGTGCTCCAGCCTCCATCTAATATGGTAGGATTACAACTTTCACTTTTCTCAAGCCCTTTTGCCTGAGGATATATTGACGTTTTAAAAATTATTATTATTTTGCATATGTTCTTTTTGGATTGTTTTATTGTCACACGAAACCACTTTGGTGGATGTGACTTGCTGGAAGATAGCAGCTAACATTTATTGATTGCTGTGTTAGACGTTATTCTAAGTACTGGTGTTATATATTATCTCGTTTCATCCTCATTACAACCATGTAAAGTAGGTACTGGTGTATGTACCTTTGGGGACCGAGGTTTAAGAATTAAGTAACTGATTTTAACTTCGACTTAATGTAACAAAATAGAAATAATACCTTTTTCTTCTTTGCTTTGTTGCAGCATGAAACTTTAGATGGCTACAGGAAGTATTTTAATCAAATTGTGGGGTAGGTATATATATATATATATATATATATATATATATATATTTTTTTTTTTTTTTTTAAAATATGTGTATACTTTTATTAGGTAGATATGTGATGCTTGGAAAAATAAATCAGATTTTCCTTGGGAAATTCTTTTTCTGTTTTTAAATCTTTAAAAAAGACAAGGTTTATCTTTTATTTTCTGAGGACTTAAAAGGAACTTTCCATTGGCTTTAACAATACATTATTGGCTAGTACATTTGTGAATAAAAGGAGAAAAATGTTCAATTTTAATCTCATAATGCTTATTATTTTTCTCATTCTTTGATGTGGGAACCAAACAATCTGCAAAAGTTGACCTTTTTTTTTTTTTTTTTTTTTTAAATAAAGCATAAGATAGTAAATGTTTTAGGCTTGGCAGACCACAAAGTCTCTGTTGTAACTATTCAACTGTGTTGTTGAGCACCAAAGTAGCCATAGATAAACCTAAATGAGTGATCCTGGCTGTGTTCTAATAAAACATTACTTAGAAAAACTGACAGAAGGCCAGATTTGTCCTATGGGGTGTAATTTGCCACCTAATCTAGAGTATATTCTAGTATGGAGTTACAGTTCCCCCAAAAAACCTTCAGAATACAGCAGCTTTTTCTAGTGGTAAAATAATCACTTTGCAGTTAAAAGAAAAGAAATTAAATTGGATTATTCCTTCAAATTTCTTTTCTTTCAGATTTATATATTTTTAGTATAATTGAAAATTTTGATTAAACTACATCATAGTTTCTTTTATCTAGAGTTATTTTAATCAGCATGAACACTACATACTGTAACATAGCTGAAGATAACCACAGAAGATTGTCTAAAAATAAATTTGCATTTTTTTTTAACTTAATGTACAGTACTTTTCAACATGGTAGATGAGAGTCCTTATAAAGGGAATTATTCTGATAATTTGTGTGCTGCATTACTGAAAAAGCATACTTTAGCTTTCATTATCTCTTTAAAATCTATTAATTTGTGGGCTGTATTGCTGGTCTGATGTTTTTAACATATTGAAATAAACCATCTTTACCAATAAACATTTTCTTCCCTTTTAAATTGCTGTATAATATGGGTAATATTTAATGGAAATATAACTTCAACTTAAGAAGGTATCATGAGCAGGGACTTAATTTTAAGTGCAAGAAATCTGATTTTGCTTATGATACCAAACAATTTTCTTGAAGAAAAAAAATGACAACTTTTTAAACTTTACATTTACTGACAGGTTTTAATGTTTATCAGACCCTGGGGATAATAGTCAAGCTGTAATTTCTGACAGATGTACTTTCTTTTCTCCTCAACTTTAGCTTTTTTGTGGTCGAAGATCACATTTTACATACAACACAAGGCTTAGTAAATAGAGCCTACATTGATGAACTGTGGGAAATGGCACTTTCAAAAACCATTGCAGCACTCCGTACTCACTCGGTATGTAAGAAGCCTAACAGAAGTTCTTACTTAGAGCTTATTATCTGTATATTATTCAGTATTTTATTCCTGTAAATATGCATTTTTTGAGTCACCTATTTAGCTATTGCTTTCAAAGATACATGGAAGCAGCTCCTTCAAGTTGATGTTCTCTAATAGTAAATCAATTTTTGTGGATGTTCTGTGCAGTAAGAAAACAGAAACATCTGTGGATTGTGCTTTATGTGTGTTAGGCATTGTTCTAAGTATTTCATATATACTATCTCATCCTTTCTGTAACCATATAAGGTAGATATTGTTATTATATTTATCTATAGTCAAGGTACTTAGGTCATTAATCTATTTGAATTTTTGAATATAAGGTAAGGGTCCAACTTCTTTCTTTTGCATGTGGATATTCAGTTGTCCCAACACCATTTCTTGAAGACATGATTCTTTCCCTGTTGAAGTTTGTCAAGCTTGTTGAAAATAAAATGGCCACAGATGTATAGGTTTATTTCTGTACCTCAATTCTATTCCCTTTATCTGTGTGTTTATCCTTCTACTACTAAAAACACTGTTTTGAGTATTGTAGCTCTCTAATAAATTTTTGAAATTGGAAAGGGCAAATCCTTTGCTCTTTTTCAAGATTATTTGGCTATGTGTGTTTCCTTTTAATCCCATATCCACAACTAATTTGCCAGTTTGTCATACTGTGGTGGCTTGTGTGTTGCTGTGAGGTAGGAGACTACACTACCAGTATTTCAAATGCCAGCAGGGTCACCTGTGGTGGACAAGTTTTCAGTGGAGCTTCCAGAATAAGACAGACTAGGAAGAAGGATTAGCCTATCTACTCTGAAAAAATTGGCCAGTGAAAACCTTCGAAATAGCAGTGAAACATTGTCTGATAAATTATTGGAAAACTTTATGAATAACAGTGACATATTATCCGATATAGTGTGTAAAGATGATCCCCTCAGTTGGAAGGCACTCAAAATATGATTGCAGAAGGTCTGCCTCCTAAAAGTAGAGTTGACCTCAATGGCATGGATGGAATAAAGCTTTTTGGACTTTCATTTACTGATGGGGCATGGCTCAAAATGGGAAGAAACAACTGCAAACATTCATTAATAATTGAAACATGGAATGTACAAAGTATGCTAAGAAAACTGGAAGTTGCCAAAAATGAAATGGAACACATAAAGATCAATATCCTAGGCATTAGTGAGCTGAAATGGAATGGTAATGACCATTTTGAATCAGTCAGTCATATGGTGTTCTATGTCGGGAATGAGAAATGGAAGAGGAATGGTCTTGTGTTCATTGTCAAAAAGAATATTTCAAGATCTATCCTGAAGTGCAATGCTGTCAGTGATAGGATAATATCCATATGCCTACAAGGAAGACCAGTTAATACTACTGTTATTCAAATTTACACACCAATCACTAAAGTGAAAGATGAAGAAATTGGAGATTTTTACCAACTTCTGCAATCTAAAATCTACCAAACATGCTATCAAGATGTTTTGAAAATACTGGAATGCAAAATAATTGGAATGCAAAAGTTGGTGGTGGTGGGGGGAAGACTCATCAGTAGTGGAAAATATGGCCATGGTGATAGAAATGATGCTGGAGATTGCATGATAGAATTTTCAACAACATAAATGGCCACTGTACACATGGACCTCATCAGATGGAATACACAGAAATCAAATAGACCACATTTGTAGGAAGAGGTGATATCATCAGTCAAAACAAAGCCAGAGCTGACCATGGTACAGACCACTTTGCTTGTATGCAAGTTCAAGTTCAAGCTGAAATATGCAAGTTCAAGTTGAAATTAAAATAAATCCACAAGAGCCACAATATGAACCCAAGTATATCCTGCCTGAATTTACAGATCATCTGAAGAACAGATTTGACACATTGTACATCAATGACCTGAAGATCAGATGAATTGTAGGATGATATCAAGAACATCATACATGAAGAAAGCAAAAGGTTCTTAAAAGGACAGGAAAGGAAGAAAAGACCATAATGGATGTCAGAAGAGACTCTGAAACTTGCTCTTGAACAGAGAATAGCTAAAGAGAAAAGAGGAAATGTTAAAATAAGAGAGCTGAACAGAATATTTCAAATGGCCGCTTGAGAAGACAAAGTAAACTATTATCATGAAATGTGCAAAGACCTGGAATTAGAAAACCAAAAAGGAAGAGGATTTCTCAAGCACAAAGAACTGAAAAAATTCAAGCCTAAAATTGCAATATTGAAGGATTCTATGGGCAAAATATTGAATGATGCAGGAAGCATCAAAAGAATATGGAAGGAATACACAGTCACTGTACCAAAAATAATTGCTCAACATGTGAACCTCAGCCAACATGCCCATGAGACCAGAAGAACTAGATGGTACCTGGCTACTACTGTCAATCACTTGGAAAGGGATCAAAATAGGAGATCCTGGATGGAGAGGGAGAAAAATGTGGAGCAAAACTAAAAATCATAAAAAAAAGACCAGGCTTACTGTCTGATAGAGACTTTTGAAGCCTCTGAAACTATGGCCCCTAGCCGTCCTTCAGGCCTGGAAATGAACTCATCCTGTGTTTCTAGCCTAACAATAGACAGGAGTATAAAGCGAACATTTACACTGGGTAGGTATACTCCTTAAGGATCTCTGATACCGTAGTGGCTAAGGCATTTGACTGTTACCGAAGGTTGGAGGTTCAAACCCACCAACCACTCTGTGGAAGGAAGATGGGGCAATCTACTTCCATAAAGATTTACCACCTTGGAAACCCAATGGGGGTCACTATGAGTCAGAAGCGACTCGACAGCAGTGAGTTTGGTTTTTTTGGTTTCAGGTATACTCAGAACATTCAACCACGGAGATCAGGAGGGCAGTATTTATACAGCGAGATAGGTCAGAGGGCAGGATTGCATAGGAAGGAAGGACACGGGGAAAAGGTAACCACAGGGAGAAAGTGGAAAGAGAGCTGTTACATTATGGAGACTGCAGTCAATGTCATGAAACAAAATGTGTGTGAACTGTTGAATGGAAAATGAATTTTCTCTGTAAACTTTCATCCACATCACAATTTAAAACAAAAATAATTGGTTGTTGTTCAACATGTTCAGGAGGTAGCATATGATCAAGAGCCAATTGTATTGAAGGTAGAAGTCCAAGCTGCAGTGAAAGAATTGATAGAAAACAAGGCTTCAGGAATTGACAAAATACCCACTGAAGTGTTTCAAGAAATGGATTCAATGCTGAAGGTGCTCAATCATTTATGCCAGGAAATTTGGAAGACAGATATCTGGTCAACCAACTGGAAGATATCAATATTTGTGCCCATTCCAAAGAAAGATGATCCAACAGAATGTGGAAATTATTGAACAATATCATTAATATCACACACAAGTAAAATTTTGCTGAAGATAAAACAAAAATGGTTGCAGCAGTATTTTGACAGGGATCTGCCAGAAATTCAACCTGGATTCAGAAGAGTGTGTGGAATGACAGATATTATTGCTAATATCAGATGGATCCTAGCTGAAAGCAAAGAATACGAGAAAGATGTTTACCAGTGTTTGATTGACTATGCCAAGGGTCATGTATGGGGATCATAACAAATTAATGGGTAAAATGGTGAAGAATGGAAATTCCAGAACACTGAGTTTTTTTTTTTTTTTTTAATCTTACTGTGCTTTGGGTGCAAATTTACAGAGCAAAATTTGTTTTATGTTCAATAATTTGTGTACATTTGATTTCATGCCTTGATTACTACTGTCCCTGACCATAACAAACTCTTTTCCCTTCCCATCCCTGTGACTACCTCCTCCCTGGGCCCTTCTTAACTATGCATTCCTGTCTGTCCAGCTTTCCCTGTATGAGAATGCTGCACCTCTGGTGCCCCATGGGCAAATGCTCTAAGGGGTGTATGTCCCTAGAATAGAGGGGTGCATCACCCTTGGGTAGGTGGTCTGCATGTAGGTCTTTCTGCTGTTGGGCTGAGAGCCAATAGGAGTGAGTCCAATTCTAGGCCCAAAGGGTAACTTAGGGCCATAGTCTTAGGGGTTCCACCAGACTCTATCCAACCAGTAATTCTGGTCATTTTTGTGTTTTGTTCCACATTTTTCCTCCCACTCTATCAGGGATCTCCAGTTTTGATCCCTTTCTGAGTGGTTGGCATTCGTAGCCGGGTACCATCTAGTTCTTCTGGTTTCGTGGTCCATCATATCCTCAGGCTAATTGTTTCCAGATGCCTTTGATTTTCTTCACTCTTCTTTGCTTCAAATAATAGGAGACCAATAGTTGCATCTTAGACTCCACTTGGAAGCTGTTAAGACCTCAGTCATTACCCACCAAAGCAGGTTGTGGAACAAGATTTTTATGTACTGTGTTGTGCCAGTTGAGCTTGCTGTCCCCTGACACTATGATCCCGAGTCATCATGCCTGGTGATTCTCTCAAGGTATTTGGTTGTCTCTGAGAGGTTACTCCAATTCTGTCTTCTGTTGCTTCTGTAATGTGTGTGGCTAATTTTGTAGCACAAGTGTATATGTAAGATTATCTTCAGCTAAATCTGTCCTTGGTCTAGGGTATATTCCTGTTTGCTGACCAGAACACTATACTTTGCCTATGAAGAACCTGTACATAGACCAAGAGGCAGTCATTTGAATACAACAAGAGAAATGTGCATGGTTTAAAGTCAGGAAGGATATTCATCAGGGTTGTATCCTTTCACCATACTTACTCAGTCTGCATGCTGAGCAAATATTCCAGGAAGCTGGACTGTATGAAGAAGAATGCGGCATCAGGATTGGAGGAAGACTCAGTAACAGCCTGCCATATGCAGATGACACAACTTAGCTTGCTAAAAGTGAAGAAGACTTGAAACACTTATTAATGAAAATCAAAGATTACAGTCTTTATGGATGGATTATACCCCAACATAAAGAAAACAAAAATCCTCACAACTGGAACAGTAAGCAACTTCATAATAAATGGAGAAAAGATTGAAGT